GAAGCTCCTTCTTGTGTTTCATCCGTATTCAGCTGCTCCTCATCCGCATCTAGATCGATGACCTCATCACTCTTTGATGCAATGGTTCTATCTCAGCCCTCAACATCCTTCGTAACTCACCCATTAGTGCTTGCATTTGAAGTGGGTTTGCTCCTTCAGGTTGCTGCTCATTTTGTGTGTCATCCATGTTGAAACTCTGCAAAAAAATGTTAAGAAACAAAAAGAACAAAAAGAGACAAGGAAAAAGAAGATGGCAGAAATCTCACCACACTCAGAAAGTGTTTCACTCAATTTTCTTCACTCCACCTCACTTGTTTTCTCTTCCAAAGTCCTTGTTCAAACTATTAGCAAACTAAATCAAACTCAAAACGATAGCAATTCACCAAAAACTTATCAAACCAGTCTATCCAAGAGCAAAAGAATTCCGACTCAGAAAGCGAGCTATGACTATGACTCAAAGTACTCAATTTGAGTTTCCAATGATGAATGCAAATGGAAACACGAAAATGAAGTTACAACCCCGACTCAGAAACTTGATCAAAAGACCTTTTTTTAGAGATTTTTTTTTGTGGTATTCTCAAACAACCAACCGTTTTTTTTGTTACATATATTTTTTTTACTTTTTTTTCCTCTTCTTTTCTTTTTTTTCTTCTTTTTTTTGCCTTCTTTCTTTTTGTTAGTTTTCTGCAATGAACACAATGAAAACGTTAAATTTTTTTTTTATAAAAGATATCAAAGTAAAACGTAAAAAGAAACTAGAGAATCAAGCTCTGATATCAAATGATACGATCTCGGATCGAAATTCTCTAGCAAGGCGGTGGAAATAACCAAAACCCCTAATCAACTCGTGAAAGAAACCTAGGCTCAATTTCTTGAAAACAAGAAACGTCCTAAACCCCTAAGCAAACCTGGATTAGAAACGTTGGTGTTGCGAAGACGCCACAAACGTTTATGGACTAACGTTTGATAAGTCGAAGATGAACGCCACAGATGAATCTGATAAGTTCAGAAAATAGTTCTCAAAGAACTTTGAAGAGAAAAAATCTCAAATATATAAAAGATGATTGATGATTACAAATGAGTTTAGTTCACCTATTTATAGGAGAACCAATACAACACCAAAAGACATAAAAGTATAGAATTAATACTAGTCTTCCTAAAACTTTGAACTTATTGGAAAACAAAGTCATAATAATGTTGGACTTTGACTAGAATAGATTGTAGGGGTGTCAAAATAGCCCGAGGCCCGATACCCGGCCCGAACCCGCCCGTAAAATTTGCGGGCTTGGGCTTTACAAATCAAGGCCCGTTCGTTTTTCGGGCCGGGCCGGCCCGACCCGGAAAATTACGGGCCAAAAACGGGTTCGGGCCGGGTCGGCCCGGCCCGGCCCGTAGGCCCGATTAAAAAAATAAATTATATGTATAAATATATATGTATATAGGTAAATATAGATATACATATATATATTTCACACATATTTGATCATATATATACATTTATTCAATCTTTTATATATATATATATATATATTTTATAATGTATATACATATATAAAAAATATACAAATATTATATAATAATAGAAAGTTCTAAAAACTAAAAACTTGTTTAATACTAAATAATTCAGGATATAATATTTTCATAAATGATATAATCAAAATTATAATACTATTAGTTTCAAATACTTATTCCAAATGAAAAATATAATAAATTATCATTTTTAAAAATTTATTACCATATAAAATTAAAAAATTTTAAATTTAAATTTATATTAGATCAAAATATATAACTTTGTAATCTATTTTTTATGTAGAATTAATACTAGTCTTCCTAAAACTTTGAACTTATTGGAAAACAAAGCCATAATAGTGTTGGACTTGACTAGAATAGATTGTAAGCAACATTGAAGACTCAAAATGCAGATTTTTTTTTGTCATTTTCGTCATGGACTTGGGCTGCAACTTTTGGACCTTCATTTTGGGCTTTCTTCACTTGATATGATGTTGAAAATGGGCTGGACTTGTGTATGACTTGGGCCAATGTTATTTTCCATGTGTTCATGGCCCAAACATTCAAGAAAGAGCCCATTTAGAGCAGCTTGTAGCTTCTTCGTTTTTGATCTCGTCATGGATCCATCCAGAAAACTGATGTGATCCACGTTGCTTCCATTTTGTTCCGTCGTGCTTCCAATGTCCTCATCACATATTAAGAGTGCATACAAACATGATTAGAGTGCATTAAAACAATTTTAGAGCGCGTCAAAACATATTTAGAGTGCGTGAAATATGTTTAGAGTTCAGCTAAACATGTTTTGAGGCCAATAAAACATGTTTAGAGTGCATCAAAACATGTTTAGAGTGCTCAAAACATATTTAGAGTGCATGCAAACATGTTTAGAGAGCATCCAAACATTTTTAGAGTGCGTCGAAACATGTTTAGAGTGCATCCAAACATACTTAGAGTGCATCCAAACACACTTAGAGTGCGTCCAAACACTTTTAGAGTGCATCCAAACATGTTTAGAGTGCATCGAAACATTTTTAGAGTGCGTCGAAACATGTTTAGAGTGCGTTTGAACATGTTTTGAGTGCAACAAAAGATGTTTAGAGTTCGTCGAAACATGTTTTGAGCACGTCAAAACATATTCAGAGCGCATCCAAATATATTTAAAGTGCGTCGAAACATGTTTAGAGTGCATCAAAACATGTTTAGAGTGCGTCCAAACAGGTTTAGAGTGCATTAAAACATTTTTAGAGTGCGTCGAAACATATTTAGAGTACGTCGAAACATGTTTAGAGTTTGTCTAAACATTTTTAGAGTGCGTCGAAACATGTTTAGAGTGCGTTTAAACATGTTTTGAGTGCAACAAAAGATGTTAAGAGTTCGTCGAAACATGTTTAGAGCACGTCAAAACATATTCAGAGCGCATCCAAATATATTTAATGTGCGTCGAAACATGTTTAGAGTGCGTCCAAACATGTTTAGAGTGCATTAAAACATTTTTAGAGTGCGTCGAAACATATTTAGAGTACGTCGAAACATGTTTAGAGTTCGTCTAAACATGTTTTGAGTGCACCGAAACACGTTTAGAGTGCGTCCAAAAACATTTAGAATGCATCCAAACATGTTTAGAGTGCGTTAAAACATACTTAGTGATACGAACCCGGATCGACGAATCTCAGAATTAGGTAAGAATGATAGTAGATGGATGTTCAAAAACCCACTAACGACACGTGAACCGAACCTAGGACTTGTTC